TCTTTAGGCTTTTCTCTGTAATTATTTAAAAGTGTTGTTCTCTTAGGCCACACACTCCTCACACCCCTCACATACACACAGTCACAGGCTCAACCCGAAGTGCAGTGTGAAGTGACAAGGTCACAAAGGCGTGACTAAGGTCAAAGGTCATTCGGGCAGAAACAATACTGACTAGACAGACCCCGGTAAATCAACGCACAGACAGACGCACAGACAGACATGACACCATACGCTGTTTCTCTGTCACTTATGCACACACAAACGAACATGCACCCATACACTACTGTTAAAAAGTTGACAACGTCTATTGAAAATTGTCTGTTTACCAAAATGTATTTTAACTGTTTTATACAGTATTTAACACATTGCATGTAAAGTTATTAAAAGATAAACAACATGCTGTAATTTAGTAGCAAACTGTGACTATTACAGCTAGGCCTTCAGTTTAATCCATAAATGTCAAGGAAAAGAAACACCTCTATGATAATGCTACTTTCTGATAGAGCGCCCATCGGATTTCTGATAGTACATTAGTGCTAAGCTAACATTAGTGCACATGAACATATTGTAGCCATTCTAGACTAACACAGACATTTTAAGTTTGTGACAGCCATTCTACATTTTTTAAGCTTGTAAGGGACATCAACATATATTACTGTTGTCAGAACAAAACCTTGTATCTCCAAAATGGTAACTTTACAGGAGAAGGAAAAAACATATTTTACTATTAATGTAAGTCAATGGAACCAGACTTTTTTCCAAGTCATTTTGGGCCATTTCTTTTTGTCCATTCACCATGAAATTTACACACAATGTAAAGGGCAGCAGATATGTTCAAAATATATCAAAAACTGAAAAATGACAGCAGCGATATATTTCACTGTATTTAGCAGTTTTACAGTGACTTTTTCAGTAAGGAGTCCTGGCATAGAGCTGCTGCTATTTTCCATTCCTAACAGCTGATTGAAACTTAGGCTATCACTCATATTAACAGTCAGTGATAGAGCTAAGACTTCTAGACCCATGGTACCCATGTTACGTCCTTATAATGTCCATAGCTTATCTAATGTGTAAGGCCTTCAGTTCAGCTCCTTAAGGCCTAACCAAGACACCCTGGAGGAAAAACTCAGATTGGATCATTTCCCATTGGGCATTTCAAGATTTTAACCCTTTTGTTTCCAAACCAAACTTAACAATGAAACAAGAGTAGGACCACAGTACTTACAGGGTACTACATGCCTGATGATCCTATTAAATAAAAACGCAGTGTTTATGCATTCCTGTAAATCACCAGGCCTTCTCTGGAAGCCTAGAAGGCCCCTGAGGCTTCCCTTCTGTTTTAATAATCTATTTATGGTCATTTTTTGTTCAAGTTTTCTGCCTTTAGTCTTGATTATGACTTTTCAAATATGAAACATTCTGGATGTTAATTTTCATTTTTTTTAAATGATTCTTGCAATGTATTTATAATCTATGAAGTTGTAGAGGACTAGCATCATATTAGAATGATTTTATAAATGTATCTGCAACAAAATTGGTCTCATATTACTGAAAACAGTGATTGCAAATATTTGAACAGTAGTATGTGATCAGTGATTAAGGAGATCACTAGACTGCCTGTGTGTGTGTGTGTGTGTGTGAGTTTGTGTCCCTCTTGGAGAGATGATCTTGGAAGGCATCCTGTTTTTTTTTCTGAAAACATTCTTTCCGTCAGAGAGAAAGAGAGAGCAGATAGTACTGTTTTATGTTTATATTTTATGATGACACTATGACTAAAGGACAGCAGTATGTGGAGATGTCATATTCCTGCTGTAGGAGAACTTTGTATCTCAGAAACAGTAACAGTATAGGAGATGAAACATCTGTGATTGTAAAATATTTTTTTTCCACAATTTTTATCGTTATTTTCACTTTACTTTGATTTCGCCCTTCTTTATGCAAGCAGGTTGTCTTATATTTAATCACTTCAGAAATCTCTCCAAAAAATATTCACTGATTCTTAAAGGACATTTTGACAGGAAATCAAATAAATGAACCATGGTGTCTGACTTTTGCACAGTACTGAAAATAGGGGACTGAGGCTATCAAAGGAAATGTTTTCTGTTTTTGGTTATTTGATTGTGGTACTTTTCAGGGTGGTCAAGACCTTTGTGAACTCTACAGCTTGAATCCTGCATTGTGATTGGCTCCACCACCTGTGCCATTCAGACACTTATTGTCCTCACATACAAGTTACTGACTGTGTGTGTGTGAATGTGTGTGTGTGTGTGTGTGTGTGCTCTTTGGTCTTTTTCTACCAATCCTTAATTTGATTTCATCTCTATTAAACAACAGTCCTTATTGAATAGGCGGGCTTGTTGTTAAAATTGGTAAATGTTTTTGAATCATCTGTGTGAGGACACAATAGGCAATTGGTGTCTCGATATAGACCTACTTAAAATTGAAGTGCGTTGCTAAATTGTGGTGTTCAGGATCACTTTCAGAGAGGACAGTAGTAGAACCTCGATGGTGTATCGCTTTGAAATCAAAAATCTGCCATGAGACAGATACCTATTTCATTCATGCTCTCAGAGACTGTGATACACAATGGGTGTGATGAATTCACATGAGTGTGCAAAATTATAGAGGACGTGGTAGACAGTGATGGCTTTTGAGTACACTGAGCCAAAGCTAGTCTTGGTCATGGGCTAGTAGTGAGTGGCATAGAGTATAGAATATACAATTTTCAGTCGCCCATCACTGTATATTTCACCTTTTCAGTTTTTGATCATTTAGTCATGAAAAACACATTGTAGTGGTCAGCCCCTCGGCTTAAACAAAACCAGGTTCTTATGCAGGGTACACAAGGAACACTTTCTATTGCTTCTATGCATTAATATAGAATTCAGTTGATGTGCAAGCTCATTAGTGAGTTATATCAAGTATTTTACAATGGAGAACATGGCTAAGCCAATCAGATGTAAGAACCAGAACAATTCATTTAAAATTGAGGTTTTGATGGGTCATGTCCTTTTAGGCTTATTGGTTAACAATTACTTGCTCATGATGGTTGATTATCAGTCAAAAGAATTTTGCAAAATTTGCATTTCTGATCCAAATATGTTTTGGTGCCACTATGTGTGTGTGCGTGTGTGTGTGTGTGTGTGTGTGTGTGTGTGTGTGTGTGTGTACAATGGATAGCAAAAGTGTACATTACACGTTGGGGATTGGGTGTCCATGACACCCGTGACAATGACATGTTGTGGTCAAAGTATCAAATAACGTGGCTACACACACACACACACACACACACACACACACAAGGGCATATATGAATGATAAGAGGTGGTGTCATTGCATAACACATCATCTCTGGATGATTCACAATGTGTATGATTAAGAGAAGTGAAAGCAGAAGTGAACCCAACACACTGTTCCTGGATCAGATGGTTTGCTTTTGTCAATATAATAGAGCTGAGTGCATATATAAGAGGTTCAAATGGGTATAAACTGGGTACCACAGCATTTTTCTGACCTAATATTTATCTACAACATCTGTAGTGTGCGATCAATTACCACAAACAATAATTTCAATTTTCATGTATTTGACTTCAAACACATTTATAATAGGAGCCAATGGGCAGGTGCTGCCACAAAGTACGCTCTGATTCAGTGAGTTCTCTGTTCTTTTCTGACAAAATAAATTATTCATCTACTGGTTTACTCACTTAAAAATACATTCCAGGCAATTTGAACAAAATCCTGGGAAGGATTTTTACTTTCTGGTCCTGAACTAACAACCTCTGCATGTACATATCTGATGATGCTGACACTGACGCTGATATGTAAACATTTACAAAATGGGGAAATTGGATCAACATCTACCTGAATTGACATACAGAGACGTATAACATTTCAATACTGTTACAAATGCAGTAACGTGTATAAAAAGAATATATAGAACTTATTATTGTATAGAGTGTGTGTGCGTGTGTGCGTGTGTGGGTGTGTACATGCATGTGTGTCTGACCTCAGCTTGAGAATGCAATGCAATGCATAAATGATTAACTCAGTGTTCCAATCACATGTGAAACACACCCATTAAACACACCTCTCTGAACCTAATGGCACAACACTAACTCGCCACAGATATCACACACACAGTGAGATGTTTTTAATGTGCAAAATATGTTTATCCACAATGCAGAGGATGAATGTTGTCATTAAAGAGGTATTCCACTAATTTCACCATCACCACTACTGTGAACAATTCTGACTTTTTTTATCATTTCTGCAAATGTCCAGTCACTGAGATGTAAACATAGTCATTCAGAGTGGTCTGATGTGAAATAAGGCATTGTAGAGAGATTTACAGACTCACAGATTTCCATACAGTGGTGGAGATAGGAATCAGGGGTCGCACTGTCCATACCACAAATATAGCTATTTTATCTATTTTCCAAAATGACCAGTGAACCTATACGTGTCCTCTGAGTTGTTAATATGTAATGCTAACAACACTCTTTATGTACAGAAAATAAGTATTAGGCCAAAATCTCATCTAAGAACTATCATAAAACAGTGTCTCAGGTATTCCTATCATCACTGCTGTGAACGATTCTGGCTTAATACGTTTGTCTAAAATGGAACATTTTCACATCAAACCACCCTGAATGACTTTGTTTACGTTGTAATGATTTAATTATGCCAAAAATATTAAAACTGTGCTCTTATTTCATTCATACTTTCATGTAAAGTGTGAATGTGTAATGTTTTAGCTTTTTATGTTTTTCTTATTCAAAATGAAAAGTGCAATATAAAGATTATTGTTGTTGTTAGAATTATTATTATCACAATCCAGTGCAGAGAGAAAGAGATCTGCACGAAGAGCTGGAGTCTTTTACTTCTGACCGGTCTCCACACATAATAGCCTGCCCCGTGGAGGAAGGAGTGGCCGAAAGAGGGAGGGGTAAGAGAGAGAGAGAGAGAGAGAAAGAGAGAGAGGAAGAGACAGAGTGGGAGAGAGGGAGGGAAAGAGAGCAGGAGCACTCCGCAGTAGCAAGGAACGAGTCAAACAGTGCAAGAACCAAAGTAGAGCTAGAAAGATAGAGAGAGATATAGAGGGAGGTAGATAGAGAGAGTTTAGTGTAATGCAGAGAACACATCAGCCTGTTTAAAGCAGTACAGTAACAGAGGAGAGGAATAGATTAATGTAAGAATTTCAAACAGGGAGAAAAGAGTGCTGTGTTGGACCCTTTTGCTCTTGGACAGGACAGAGACAGAGGAGAAAGGGGGAAAAGAGGAATAAGACGTGTTTGCCAGAGGAGCCCTCGCATGCTGAACTCCTGACACACACACACACATACACACACACACACACACATTCAGAGAGAGCTTTCTCCCCCTGCGGCAGCTGCAGAGAGAGAGAGTGAGAGAGCCTGCCGTTCCTCTGGAGTCTACGGGACCATGGCACCTGTCAGAGACGGAGCGGCGCTACGCTGAGTGTGTACACACATAGACACACTCAGAGGGAGAGAGAGAGAGAGAGAAGGGGAAAGGACCAGTACAAAGGTGAGTGAAGACTGGAATTGTTCTTTAGAACTGCCTGGCTACCTTCTGTGTGTGTGTGTGTGTGTGTGTGTGTGTGTGTGTGTGTGTGTGTGTGTGTTTCTCATGGGGTGGCTGAGTTAATTTAAAGGCGTTTTCACACTAATCACTGTATTGTGTTCAAGAGCATTTTAGTGAACAGCATAATCCACTGTTAATACTCTCAAAATCTCATTATCTCTAACAGACACAACCATACATACACTTAATCTTTCTCTGAAATACATTTACACATTGCCTTACTCTTACCTTGCTCTCTCTCTCTCTCTCTCTCTCTCTCTCTCTCTCTCTCTCTCTCTCTCTCTCTCTCTCTTGACCTGGTCAAATTACATGTGTTTTGTCGATTTAGATGTGAACAAGTTAACGTATCCTCTACAGAGAACACACTTCTGCCCATTTTAATGCACAGTTACTGTTTATTTGCTCAATTTAATATGTTGGAAAAAATAAATAAACAAAATGCATCCTGTACAAAAGTTACGATACATTTTACACTTTGTTTTCTTTTTTTTTCAACATGGTAGACTCATTAAATAGACATAAATTGTGCACTAAAATGTGCAGAAAACACCATATTGAACTGTGCTCCCTGTACAGAATGTATGAACTTATTTTCATGTAGAAAACATGTAATTTGACCAGGAGTGTTCAAACTTTGCATACAACTGTACATATAAATTGACTATATATAGTGGTGGTGGATCATTCTCAGCACTGCAGTGACACTGTTGTGGTGGTGGTGTGTTTGTGTGTGTTGCACTGGTATGAGTGGATCAGATACAGCAGTGCTGCTGGAGTTTTTAAACACTGTGTCCACTCACTGTCCACTCTATTAGACACTCACTACCTTGTTCCACCATGTAGATGTAAAGTCAGAGACAGTAGCTCATGTTTTGCTGCACAGTTTGTGTTAGTCATCCTCTAGTCCTTCATCAGTGGTCACAGGACGCTGCCCACAGGACGCTGTTGGCTGGATATTTTTGGTTGGTGGACTATTCTCAGTCCAGCAGCGACATTGAGGTGTTTAAAACTCAAGTGTCTTATCTACTCATACCAGCAAAACACACACTAACACACCACCACCACGTCAGTGTCACTGCGGTGCTGAGAATGATCCATCAGTGTGTGTGTATTGTGTAAATGTGTGCGTATGGGCAGGTGTTTGGGCCAAGTGTGTCCTGTGCTTTTATAGGTGCATTGTGTGATATCCACACTTAGTCCCAGCACATGGATGGGACGTCTTCATATGAAGATATTAGAGAGAGTGTAGGAGTGTATAAGTGTGAGAGAGTGAGAGAGAGATGGGTAGAGAGAGAGAGAGAAGGAATGTGTGTGTGTGTGTGTGTTTGTGTGATGAGAGAGAGAGAGAGAGAGAGAGAGAGATAGAGAGTAGTAAATTCAGGATCGCTGTCAGTTTTTGGTCTGAAATATTTACTATCCTCCGCTGCGCTGAAATATTGACTTTTCTGTCATTGCTCGAGGGAAAGAGAAAAAGAAGCGAAGTTGTTCATTCGTTCGCACAAAAAGCAAAAGGCTGTCATCATCAACATTTTATGAGATTTTTATTTTCAACCTCGAGCATGAAGGATCTCTCCCATGTGCAGAGCTCCATATCAGGAGTGGACGGGTGAGTGCGTGTGTTACGTTGCAGTAAGGATGCTGCTGAAATTCCACTGAATGAGATTTGGTGTTTTTCATTTGATGATGTGTTAAATACACACACACACACACACACACACACACACACACACACAAGGACTTTTGGCTGAAACACTGAGACTTTGTCCTTTCAGAGCCTCCACTTAAATAACACAACATTCTTTCACTCACTATAAACACAGCTGAGTGGGTGTGTGGTTAATTAGCATTTTGGGTAGTGTGTGTGGTGTGCGATGACCTGGGTATGTGTATGTGTATATATATGTATATATATATATATATATATATATATATGTATATATATGTAGATAGATAGATAGATAGATATATGGATATAGATATATATCTCGCATTAGCAGCATGCACATGTGTATGTATATGTATATGTGAGTGTGTGTGTGTGTGTGTGTGTGTGTGTGTGTGTGTGTGTGGGAGAAAGAGAAAGACAGTAAGCCAGTGGTGAATGTGGTACTGTGTATGTGTGTATTTGCATGCTCCTGTAATGGGCCCAGACCATGGAAAACAGAATTAATAACATAATTTAATGCAGCATATAAACACTGCTAAAGTTTCAAATTGTATCATTCACTCCCCATTCCGTACAGTCCATGTATGAAAACTAATCTGTATAGATTATTCAGTCCCTTCTGAATTCACTGTTGCTCTGATGTCACAAAACCAGCACATTTACATATATCCACCTACTCAGTCTACAGCAGTTTAGCGCCACCCATTCACACTGTAGTTAAAAAGAGTATTCTTGCCTGGACTACTTTTTGAATGAGGCACAGTACAGGACAGATTAAGCAGTTAAAATAACAGTGTTTATTTTTTTAGATTTATGAATACTGATGCAGATATCTGCATAGATATGTGTGTGTGTGTATGTGTGTGCAGAGGGTAGCTATCCAGAAGCTGTCCTCTATCCTGATTCAGCTTTACAGCAGGCCAAGCGGGGGACATGGCTTTGTTGTTCTGAAATCACAGAGCATTCCTTCAATAGATTAAAGGAGTCAGGGAGCTCCTGTGTGCGCTGTAGGATTTGGTTGGACTGAGTGTTTTTTACATTACGTTTCAGTTTGAGGTTAAAAAAGTTTTCTTTGAGCTTTTTGGAACAAAGTTCACAAGTGCAGCTGCATAACACATGATGGACTAACACACACACACACACACACACACACACACACACACACACACAAAAGGCTGGTCTGGATTGTCATTCAGTGAGTCTGTCTGATTTTCCACTCACACCTACACATAGTGACCCATACATCCTGTACTACTTCTCTCTTCTCTTCTCTTCTCTTCTCTTCTCTTCTCTTCTCTTCTCTTCTAATGTTTTCTCTTATTCTCTTATCTTTTCTTCTGATGTGTTCTCTTCTCTCCTGATAACTTTTTTCTATTCTTTGCACTCCTGGTGTCTTCTGTCCTTCATTTCCCTTCTGATGTGTTCTCTTCTCTTCTCTTCTCTTCTCTTCTCTTCTCTTCTCTTCTCCCATCTTTCTCTCTCTTCCTCTCTTCTTTTTCTCCTCTACCTGTTCTTTCATTCATTGCATCCCTGCACCCCTCATGCTGTAGATCACAGACAGGGGGATGTGGGAGGAAAAGGAATAACAGAAGTTCAGGGGGAGAAGAGAATAAGTGAGATAGTTAGAGAGAGACAGAGACAGAGACAGAGAGACAGAGCGAGAGAGAGAGAGAGAGAGAGAGAGAGAGAGAGAGAGAGTTAGAGGGAGTGGATGGCTTTTAGCCGAGTGCCTCAGCCGGTATGGGTCGTTAATTGAGCTGCTCCCGAAGGGGGGTATCAGACCCCAGATTAATTTGGCTCCCCTACATCACACACACACACACACACACACACACACACACACACATACACACACACACAAACACACACACATTCCCTCTCCATCTCTCAGACCTCAGGAGTACTTAGCGCCGTCCGTTTCCCAGCTGTTACCGAGAGAAAATGCTCTGATGGTGCACTTTCTCTCTGTGTGCATTTGTGTTCGAGGAAATTCATTTGCACATTGCCTTTTATATTTTGTGGTATGTTTGTTCTCTTTTGACACTATTGAACACTTTTAATCTTAAGGCTTACTATTCAATAACACAGAGATGTTCAGGTAAGGGCAAGTCGGAGGCAAGTCATAAGTCAGGATGACATGCCACTCGAGGGCTGCTAAAATCCCCATCTCTTCAGTAACTACTGTAAATTATTTGGTGAGACTAATATGTAGGTTATGCAGTTATGAAAGTGAGGAGTGGAATGCAGGTCAGTGTGCAGGTATCTGCAGTTTAAAGGGCCTAAATTCACAGAAAAATGAATTTTCCTTACTTTTATAAATAAGAGTTTGATGTAGTGGGTACCATTCTTTCCCCAACCTGTGCAGTCCATATATGAAAACTAAACTGCAACACAGCCTGCTTTGAATCTATCGCTTTTGTGATGTCACAAACACATTTACGTTTATCTACCTATTTAGCCTACATCAGTTTACCCTACCCATTCACATTAAAGTTGAAAGCCTGGACTGTTTTTGATAGAGGCATAATACAAAAGAGGCAGAACACATACATAAATCAGACTTAAAGACATGAACGATAAATTATGAAATTTTTTGTGTATAAAAAACACATAAATGTTGGAAACTGTCCACTGAAGTTGTTAAAACTGATATTGTCATTTAAATGACTTGTAAACTACTTTTTTTTGTGTAAATCCATCACAACATGCTAACTCATTTAATTGAGGTATGTATGTGCCAGATACAGTCATGTGAGGGCTGATCAGGATGAGGTGAAACTGCACCTCCTGTGCTCCAGCTGTTGGGGCTACAGACTTTAATCTGAGCCCATTTTAACCCACAGTCCTTTTCTCCCTCCTGTATGGCCTCACACAGTCCAGCTTTTGACTAAAGCATGAAGGCAGAATGGGTTCCTATAGATTCTCATCTGCCTACAATGCAGCCAGTGTGCATTTGAATTTGAAAAGGCCAGTCACAAGCCTTCTGCAGCTGGGTGTCACTAGAAAGCAGTGCTTTCAATGGGACGTTCTTAAGTCCTCAAGTTCATAAGTTCCTGGGAAAATGACTGAAAAAGCAGTTGTCAAGTGTTTATATAGGATAAAAGTGATTGACCTTTTAGAAGTTAACTGCATTGGCATAGTATTGCAGTTTATTCATGTATTACACATGAATGTTTAAGAAACAATTCAAAACGTATCTTTTTAACTTAGCATTCAATTAACTTCTATGTGTCTTTGGTATCTTCTTTAACTTCAACTGTCATTGTCTTGTCTATTA